TAATTAGATGACAATTTTGGAATGCATCCTTTAGAGAAAGGCAGCTTTTACAGGAATCTCTTGGGTACAAGCTTTTCATTCCTCAGTGCTGGTATTTTCACAAGGAAACAAATACTTCATTCAACCTATGACCACACAGAAATCTTCTTGCATGACTTTATTCATTGTGAAATTCACCCTTCTTCACAGCAGACTCCTGAACAGGACAGATAATTACTTTTAACCAGATTCAGCTAGGTAATTCCTCTATTTTCTTGAAACAAAAAAGGACATTCAGCTTCATCTGGACTATGCTCATTTCATCTCAACTTTCAAATGGCATTGTCACAAGCACAATCAGGTGCTGTTACAAACAGACCCCAAATTGTTTAAGACAATCAACCAGGATTTTTCACTCTTCTTTGACTTCTGACCTCTCACCCAAGGGAAGTCTAGATTCACTGTCCAAGTTAAAGCTTTTCCAATGATTTGTGAGTGAAAAACTCGAAAGTTCAAAACAATATCACAAATAGGAGATGCGACATTTTTGCCAGATCTCAAAGTAGTATATAAAATGTTCAGTGAACTGAAATTTCCAAGTAACAGTCAAAGCTGTATAACAAATATAAACTCCGTAATTTCTTCATATGTTTGCGCTCTTAAGAAAGAGAAATAAGATTTTCAGAAACATACCAGTTAATTCAAAAAAACCCTTTCTTCTTTAAGATATTTTAATTCACAGATGTGACATATTTGGTTATCTATAAAACATAAAATTGATCCACACGTGTTGAAAACACCACCATCTTCCTATAGCAGTGTGCTCAGACTAGAGTGGCAGGAGGGAATTCTAAAAACTTCTTGACAAGATCTCATCTATTCTGGTGCAGATACAACAGGAAAAGCAAGAAAATAAAAAGTTTCCTCTCCACAAAATCAAAGCATTCAGTCTTTATCCAGTTCTTCCAGACTATATCCAATAACCTTTTCCTAAAAAGGAAGCTTGAAAGCATTAGTTTAAGTTGTATCTGCATAACACACTTCCCAATATTTTTGCTGTTATCTGAATTATTCACTTTAGCTTCACTTTATTCATTTTGGCTTCACTTCCTCACTATAACATACCGTACACATCACCAAGCACATTCACTGATTGGTTGTTTTTCGGGTTTTTTTCAGGTGAAACAGTGAGTGATTGGGGCACATTATATTTGCTTTTGTTTGTGCATGCTAAAAAAAAATCTTACAAATATAATCAAAGTTTCTTAAATGTATGCGTATATATACACACACACACAGACACGTGTATAAAAACAACAGACACTATTGACAACCTCTCAACAGAAGAAAATAAAACCTCAAATTTTATTGCTGGTTTGCTATTTCTGAAAAGGGAATATTTTAATACTGTCATTTACCAATTCTTCTACCAAATATTTTGTTTTGCATTAGCTTTTATCAACATACTCTGTCAATGCTGCAGACTGAATTACTATCTATGATGTCTTCAGCAATGTAAAATAAATTTTTAAAATTATCATGTTAACTGTAGACTATTTGTAAACTACCAGAGAGAAAGAGTGATTACAACCATTGCAATGACTTTTTCAATAACTTCCCTAAAAATTAAACAGTAGATACTGGGTTGTCAGACAGTAAACTGTCGAACTCCGTCCTTGTGACCTGAGGACTGAAAATCAGATCCAGTGTTCTGTATTCAACTTAATAAAATACTAAAGTGTACGCAATTTACTGTGCAGCTGTGAAATATGTACATCCACTGAACAAAACCAGACCATTATATTTAAGATAAAAATTTTCTTCTGAGGAAGAAAGTTGTGTGGCTGCTCTCTCCTCTCCAAAAATGGTGGCTTTTAGCTGCTAACTTGAGCTTATGCCCATGGTCCCACATAGACATCAGACCACAGTAACAGAAAAACTACTAATTGATGTCCCCATGTTAACCAACTACCAATCAATATGAAGAATACAATCCCGACTTTCCCCATTCATTGGGAAGCAGTCTTGTTGAAACAAAAATCTGTTTAATGAGCTGTTCTTCCTGGCTAGTTCCTGAGATCAGCTATAAAAATGTGACTTCTGAAATAATGAATAATACAGAGAGCAAATTAACACCCAACAAACTTAGTTTGATCATCAGTGAAATCCTGTATTTAATAATCCTCAGATATGACTTCCATATCACTATCTCTAGCAACAACAATAAAGACATTTTTCCAACAATCATTTAAAAATCAAATTTCCTAGAGAAAGATTACTGTTGAGAATACTTCTAGCCAATCTAGAAACTTGAATATTCATGCGCCAATTACAGAACTCTGGGATGAAGATGCAGACACTGAGCATATAATCCTCATGAAGAAAAAGAAGTGGTTTTAAGAACTAAATGCTAACAAACTTTACTTTGGTAACACTAGTTGAAGTTGCAAGTAAAAATAATGTTACAAAACAGAAGTTATAATAAAAAAACCCAACTCACAACAACAACAACAAAAGAGTAGCTTCCTGAAAATAGAGTAATGCATTTAAAATTCAGTACTCTTCAAACCTACCAATAAAATACTGTGTCAATAGCTTATTAATAAAATACTGGAAAAAGATAACTGGTCAGCAGATTATTAGCTGGACTTCCTGAAAGACATTCAACTTCTTCACAAAACATGGACAGAAAAAGAAATAATGCTAAACAACAAAAGTCAGCTAAACAAAATACAAAATAGCAATAATTCTTCAACACTGAGCATGTCAGCCAGTATTTAAGTCATCTGTGAAACAGGTAAGCAATGATCATTGCAAAATATTTAGAATCACTGAGTAAAGTTAGTGGATAGAAGAAGAAAGTCACAGCGAAACTTTACAAATACCATGAAGGAAGCATATCCATATGCATTACTGATGCTCAGTACACGGCTGTGGTGGCCGGGGGAAGCCAACATTCAGATGGTTTAGTCTGCTTCAGCTGCAGAAACTTTTCAGTTAAGTTTTTGCCCCAAGCAAAGAAGAGTCTGCTGCCTCCTCTCACGTGATGTCTACTGCTCATCTGGGTGAACATTTTTTCAGCTGTGTAGCTCTATGCGGCAAAATCCTTTTGGAGTTATGAGGGAAGGGTGGGGAGAATATCCTAAAAATGAGGTCAAATCTGATTCTCACAAGTTCTCTCTACCTGCAGTCTGATAGTATGATACTGAAATCCCTCTACTTAAAACAATTAAGGAAACACTGATCAGGACTCAATTAGCATTGCAGAGAAAAATTAAACACTTTCCTGATTAAAAAAAAAAAACCCAAAACAAAACAAAAAACCAGACCAAACAACCAAATATTTCCGTAAATTAAAAGATAATCTAGTGATATGGTGAGAGATTGGGCTGAATCCCTTACTGACTTTGAAAGAAACTCCACAAAGTAGAAGGAGTCTTAAGTTAAAGAGCAACAGTGCAACAGGAGAGAATCCTGAAGTGCAAAAAAATCTGACTATAATATAGCAACTCAGAAAACTGTCACAGCAGCTGACTCGAGAGGGGAGTTAAAGCCAAAGAATTTTTTGGGCCTCCTAGCAACATTCTTTGCTGTCATCAGACACCACAGTTGATGTTGCTAAAAGTTAGTGCCTTGTGCCTGAACAAGTAGGGGCAAGAAGAAAGGGTGTGAAAATCCTTTTCCTGATTAGTCATGTTCTGCCTCATGCACAATCATCAGGATGGAAAGAAACAGCATGATGAGTACCACAGAATACAGTTAATCTGACAACAGCAATAATATACATGACTGCCTTTTAACAGGTAGTTCTTTTAACATTTCTGTTAGTATTTTCCCATATCAGCATGAAATGGCAAATATATATATACACACACACAAAAATACACAGTTATGTAATTCATGCGTCACATACTGTTTCTACAGAGAATTTTTATTAGACTCAATAGAATTATTCAGGACTTGAGACAGAATTCTTATCCTCTTCATTGAAAAAAAAAATCAATATAGCATACTCTTCAAACTTTGTTTTCTCACCTATTTTATGATACTAACTTTAGAATGAAACTGAGCTTTAAGAGTTTTAAATTTAAATAGTGATCTACTTTAAAAAGAGTAACTTCAGTTAAGATCACAATATTAATTAGCACAGCTTCTGCCACTCATTTTTATTAATAAGGTAATTACAACAACCACACTTGTTACCATTAAATAGTTTTTCTAAATCTCTCAATTGCATTCAGAATACTTGGAATTGTGCTGATACAGTATCGATACTTTATAACATTTAATACATTAATATTCTTGGCATAATTTAATTAAGATTTAAATCCCCTGCTCTTTAGCTGCATATTGGTATGGTGGTTATTCAAGCTTTTATATTACAACAACTACTGATATATTTAGTTATAGCAATACAGATGTAGAGAAAAAAGTGAAATGATCAAAAAATACTCTTCTTGTAAAACTTCCGAGAAAAAAATGTTTCCTAAAAACACATAATCAAAAAAATGTAGTCTGCTGTTCTCTTATTAATTCTTTAATCTCATTTAAGATTTGTCTAGGTCCAAAAAAATTAATTCTTAGCTACATGTTTGAGTATATGTAATGTTAATTGATTAAGATCAGGTCAAGAATATTGACATCTGCTGTAATTCTCTTCAAACATCATCCTGGACCAGGTCCTTCTGCTGCTTTATAAAAGCAGGGAAGTATTCTTCTCAACTGATTGTGTCTGCCAAGTAAGAACTCGGCACATACATCAGCAGCTGTATATAAGATAGTCTTCATTTTCATAGGGATTCAATTCTAAATTCAATGAGTTTAAACTGTGTTTTTAAAAATGGAAATTTAGCAGTGAAGATTTTCCTCTTTTATTTTTTGTAATGAAGTAGCATAAAAGATTTTCCTAAGAAGTATAAAAAATAGTCTTGCTATATATGCTGATTATTTTTAGAGGCTCAGTAGTTAAAATTAATGGAAGCCTTTGTTTATTTGTCATTTATCTGCTTTTAAATACTTACAGTGAAAAATACGGAAATCAATGTATGGATGAGAACCTCTTCTCTCTGTTTCAAATCCTGCCCGACTTCTTACTCGCACATCTCCTAGAAACAGGGTCAAGAGTGAAATAAAAGTGTGGAAGAGTGGCAGAGATAAAATGCAAATGAACATAGCCTGGAGGGGTAAAGATTCATGTACTTAATGGAGGAGGGTTATTCAAACAATAGGCCTATTTCAATGCTTTTTGTTTTAAAGGTGAAATTCAAAACAAAGTTTGAAGACTTGTTAAACATGCAATCGCATGCTTTCTTGTCAAAATCCATCCTGCCTAAGCATACTTTGCCAGAAGCATGTGATAAGCATTCAGATGAAATAAGGAACAGCTTGCTACACCAGTATGGTAAAAATGCACCTTATTATGACAGGAAACAAGAACAGTAAAGGTTGATTTGTTCCTCAGTAACACACATAAAACGGTAACATTTTGTATAGTACAAAAAAGATTCAGCTTCTAAGAAATGGTAGCTTTTAGCAAATAAGCTAGTTACAATATGGTTTTATATTACATAATAGAATATTTTCTCACTAGCATTTACTTACTTGTGCTCAGCTGTTTGAATATTACACAAGAGCCTATTAAAATACCAAAACTCAGTATTAAAATTTTATCAAACTATTTTGCACTGCAAATAGCTTCAACCTGAATCCTTTAGCATGCTAGCTGATTTCTACTTATGCATTTTACCAACTGAAAGCTGATCAGTATTCTTCCGTTAGGTATTTGTATACATTAATGTAAGCAGCTCACGTGGATTAAAAGCCTTCACTTCAAATCCTTTAGCAATTACAAATTTGGGCAAACCTTTGAGGATCAAATGCAATAGTGTTTCCCTCCTCAAATCCTAACGAAAATGTGAAAGTTAAGATGTAAAAATGTTCTGGTTTCTAATTATGAAAATCCTTCAAGTATAATACTATCTCCTCAAACACGGCAATTTTCCTATGAATCTAAACTAAGTATTAAAAACAAGGAACTGACTGATTTTATAAAAACAAAATGAAAATATATCTATTTAATATCCAGCAATTGATAATATTTTAACATCTTAAGAGTGTTTTTTCCTTTTCTTCTCCAACCTGCTAATTTGTAATGCTGAAGCAGGCAACTTGTCAGAAAATAGCTAAAGATACTAACTAAAACTTCAGCAGTATACTTTTAATACTTAACAATCTTCCCAGAGATACATATCTATAAATACTGACATATCTATAGTGACACTCTTCACAGGAATGTTATCTTGTGAGACACTCTGGAAGGACCACAAAAAGATAAGTAGATCCAGGGCCCTCCAAATTATGAGTCTAAAGTTTACTTATCAGTAAAAACATACCAAATACATGTGGGTTTTCAGTTATTACTCCTTTTATTTTCTTGAAACTGAAAACCTCAACAGAGCTACAAACTAACCCAATTACTATCTGTAAATATTATTTTTTCAGACCACTGACAATATATTACTTATAAAGGTTTCAAGCATTCATCTGAGCAGAGTGCAAGAGGCTGTCTTGTTCCAGGCAATACAGAGGCAGCATATTGTAGAACCATTCTGTTAGGCACAAGCAACTGGTGAATTTTATTTACAAAATAAGTTAATAAAAAGGAAAAAGGAAGGAAATTTTGGAAAAGAGAATGTGTAATGCATTAGTAGCCATGTATGAAAATATCAGTTTAAACAGAGGAAAATGCAACTTTCATTACCTTTCACTCATATTTATCTGGGAAATCAGTCATAGCTACAGCTGTGTGAATGAATTCACCAGCTGAATTAAAAGAAAAATAAAAGAGTTTTCTTTAGTTAAGCTAATATTTTTACAGAAAAGGTTATATAACTTTTGTGAATTATATTTAGTTTTCAAGGCAGTCTTAACTTTGAAAATTTACCAACAATAACACGAATTAGCAAATAGCTTCAGTCAGTGTACAACTAGGTTTTGGTGAATGATTTACTTGTTCAAAGTGTCAAGAATAAGAAACATTCACAGAAAAATACCTGAAGACTAACATGGAGCTGTGCAAATAAAAAAACCCAAGCAGGTTCATCTGATAAATTATATCCAGGAAATTTCTCTGCTTTGTTCTTTTTTATTTACTAGTACCTAGTCTAACAGCATAGATAGAACAGCAGTATCCCCGTTACCCTTGACATGCCCGCAGTGTTGTGGATTTTGAGTAAGAAAACAAGAAAAACTGTCTACAAGTGAAATGCAGAAGTTGCTTTTAACAGGAATTATTAAAATGTGTATTTACAGGAATAGTTAGCCAAAAGAATAAGTGATACAGTAAAAATGCATATGGCAAACTATTAAAAAAGGCAACTGTAATAAGACGAAGGTAAAATGAGCTTATTTACTTGCACACATATGAAATGATAAATTCTCAGCAAGGAAAGCAAAATATTTTTTCATTAAATAGTTGTTAAACAAAATTCTCTCCTTGATCATGGTAGAAGCAGAGGATATTTTGTTAAGAATCATGATCTCAACAATGGATGGATTTTTTAAGAATACATTTGGATTTATTTTGGAAAAAGACATCACTTCTGCAGGACTGGAATTTATCACAGTAAATGAAGCATAAATTCTTATTGGGCCAAAATGAAGGCAGAAGGGCTGTCTCCATTATGATTGCACAGGACAACTGCATTTTTAAAGATTTCAGACAAAAAGTGTGCTTGGAAAAATCAGTACAAGTGGAATTTGAAGATACCATGCATCCACCTGAAGCTTCTACGCGTATAGAAGCACAGAAAGGAATAGCATTAAACTGGCTGCATATTAGCCCATGATGAAATGATGTGCTATTAGCACAGTGAGACACTAATCTCTACAGTGTATGTATACTTAGTCCCAAAACATCCAGAAATAGTAGACCATCGTTATGCATTCACTGTTCAGTTAATCTGACCTGCAAAGACTGATAGATCCCAAATGCACCCACTTCATTGTGCTTGCACACAACATAACACATTCCCATCAATTTCCTTGGGAAATCCCGCACAACTTTTTTGCAACCCTATAACTTGGAAATGATACTGAATGTAATTTAAAGAAGAAATTTAAATAAAATAATTAATTAAATAATTAATTCTTTAATAAATAATTAATTCTTTAATAAAATAATTAAAGAAGTAATTTAAAGAAACACAGGTAACAAACAAAAAAAAGAGGCACAAGACATTTCAGATTCAAGATCACTTTTATCAGACAAAAGGACACTATTAGATAATTCCTTCAAATAACAACAGGAGTCTAACCTCAGAGCCAATCATTATTATGGAAGCTGAAAGATAATTAAAATTAAACACCTAAAACAAATGAACTTATGAAAAAAATTCATTTAGGTCTTTTTAAAAAAATGCCAAAGTGGTTACAAAATCTTTTGAAAACATCAGATTGCACTGTTTGCTTATAGATAAAAAAATCTTGAAGGGGTAGAAGTGGTAGCAAGCTGACAGTTTTCCTCTTAAGTGTCTCTTCTTTAGCCACTCTGAAAAGACTCCTCTGTTTCCTTAGGGGGAACACATTAAAGTCCAGTATCTTAACGACAGTGGACTTCCAGGAACAATTTTTTTCCCTCTTTGGGAATTGCTGTGAATCCAAAGAATCAAGAGAAAGATTTAAAAAATGTGAAGCCTTCCTTTCAAAATCTGATTTTGTGCACAAACATGACAAAGCTGAGTGAGTATTTAACTAGAATTTTTTCCTAAATAGTTCTACATGACTAAGACTGCTTGCATTTTTAAGACAAAGGCCTTACAGGCTGAAACTCAGTTGAAGGCTGAATAAATAATAGAAGAAGGAATGCAAGAGGGAGGTTTGCAGCTACAACTGAGAACTGAAAAGGAATCAGGGCTGTAACAAAACTTACCTTGAGACAGAAAGCTTAGTTCCTACCCCCCTTTCAGATTTCTGCTCACACCACAAGGATAGCTCTGATACTTACGAGGCAGCTGAAATGCCATAGATGACAACCCTGCGCGTTAGGGTTACACAGCACATACTTTGTGCTACCCTAATATTCCAGTGTGGCACAGTAACAATGCAGCAGCTGCTTGGGGAGCTGAGGCCTTCTGGAGCAGGGGCAGAAATCCCAGAGATCACGAAGGACAGCTGGGAGCAGCAATTATGACAGCCACCTCAAGGCAAACTGCCCCAGTCAAAGTCATGAAGTTGTGAAGAGCTGGATTTCCAGAAAGAATTACTAGTTTCATAGATTAAAGTTCCTATTAGGTTTGTTGGAGAAACAGATGACAGGTCAGCCAAATATGCTGTAATTAAAGCAAAAGGAATACAACACAGCAACCACTACCAGACAAGAGTGTGCACCTGCATTACACAGTAGCTTGCCTCCACTGTTTCCTATTTGAAGTGACCAAGACCACTAAAGGAGGGTAAAATGCTCCAGTTACAGTTGAGAGGTGCGTGTTCATCGATACAAGCAGTCAGTGCTCCGCTCTTTCCACCCCATGCACAGCAGCAACTTTCAGGCAATATAAAACAAGAAAAAGAAACCAGAAAAGCAAAGAAGAGAAAAATCAAGAAGGTATCAAGATTGCAGAGAAGCACTTACAAGAAATTTTGAGAATTCCTTATAGTTGCTAAGAGAAGTAGCTGACTGAGGTGATGCAGATCTTTCAGCCCTTTTAAAGTCTTAAAAGAAAAATTCTACAATGCTGCATCTGTATCTATATTTTAAAATAGTAAATAAGCCACTTGGGAGTGGTTTAGAGTGTATTTTCGGAAGGGGGTATGACAGATGAGTCATTAGAGTCAACGCTGTTTGTTTATATCGACACTGATGAAGACAGTTAAGAGTCAGAAGTTTATTTTGTGTGTCCCTAAAATTTGATCCTTTAAATTGAACCTGGAAACACTGCCATACCCCAGGAATTTATATTTACTTGGTGCAAATTAATTTCTATCAGATTCCCACTGGAACAGCCTGAAAGCGTTAAAGGAAGCAACTCTACGGTCAGCATAACTAAACAGAAGCAGAGGGAGGTGTCCTAGATACCCTTTTTTTTTTTGGTCTGCTAAAATAAACATGTTATCGAGGTACAGTCTCCTAGTAGATATAGTCTGTTTGGAATAATAATCAACCAAGTAAAAGGCAAAACCTCTCATGACTGTGCCTTACTTCCCCTTAAGTTACAGCTCAGGATTCCTTACAGCTTACTCTGCTAAAGTGTACTACGATAAATAACAACAACAAAAAAACCTCCACAACCTACCCTGGCAATACTGTATGGAAAATGCAATACTTCACATTTCTTGCAAAAATTCTAATTGAATATATTCATTCTTTAATCTACTCCGACGTGAATGTTTCTACATACCGATGCATCCAACTGTTCAGCTTTCAGGCTGGTGTTTTTTACAGTCCATTTACAAATAAAACAGTAATAAAACAGTAATAGCTGCTAACTTGTACAGTATTGTGTACATAACATTCAGGAAAACAAAGAGATCGCTGAGAAAGTAATACAAATTTAACATACTCATTCAAATATCCAACGAGCAATTTTTTGTTTGATTGTTGGTACCCTCCTCCCCCAGCCAAAGTCAGAAGAGGTCAATCCTTTAAAAGACTTACTGCTTCTGAACAGCTAGCACCAGTGACCAGCAATCAATGCCAGCAAGAGTTATGCTATTCATAACAAGCACCAATCACATAGTCTAATAAATTAATTCCAATTAGAGAACAACTAAAAATCTAATTTACTTAACATCATGTTCTGAATATATTCCAATTCTGCCTATGAGAACAGTCAAAGAAAGGCTTCAAAACAAATTAGATTTTTCCCTCAGTTCAGGTGTATATACCAAGAACCACAGGACGTCATGCTTTGCTTTCCTCTAGATTTACTTGAGCATTATCACAAATCCTTCTGCAGAAACGATGGGCCTAACTACTTCATGGCACAGTTAAACTTCCGAAGCAGCAAAAGAAATCAGATTATTCTCCTCAGAAATTAAGAATTCTTTTCTTACAAGCTGAGTTTCTACCACTATCAAAATAATTTTAAAAGATATAAACACAAGAGATATACTTACAGTATTTTTAATTCAAGCATATCAGTTTATCTAAAATAAATTAATACATATTTCCCCTGTTAGGGAATTAAAAGTACTCAATTTATAGGATTTTGAAGCAGGAAAAAAATGTATTTTCGAATTATAGCACAAAATAAAATTAGTTTAAAAAAAAAGTATCACAAAATCAAGAAAACAAAACTATCTCAGGCCTAAATTTACTTGCCTATTCTTAGGACTAGAGCAGTAAAATCACATTCTAGTGTTCATCCTGGAAAGAGGATGATTAAAAATAGAAAAGTTATTTTATTTTTTGAAAATTAAACAAACATTTCCAACAATAACAAAAAACCATCAGCTTTTTCTATAAGCATTAAGTCAGTATCTCCTGTCTTTCTCTTAACAAATCTCCCAAGTAATTACATTCTTTCATCAAAAATCCTTCAGTAGAGAGTTAGTGCTATAGTATTAACAACTTCACAAACATAAAAAATAAAAACAATCAAAACCCCAAAATGCTAAGATGCTAAGTCAAAACTGGATTTATATATACATATACACACACATATGCATACATATGTGGTTATGACTATAAATTAATATACACACACATGTGTACACATGCATGTAGCTTACAACTTTGAATTCATAGAGAACAGCGTTATGAATTTCTGGGGACTTTAATACATAACAAGATACAACTAAATTGAAAAGACTCAGGGCATAAGAAGACATGTTCTGGCTGATCTAGTTGGAGCAGGTTAAGAATTCATAATCACTAGCTCTTGATCTTCTTCATTGAGCCGTGAGAGATATCATGCAAGCATTGATAGTCCATTTCAACACAAAATCATAGCTCAAGATGCCTTAATTAAGAGGCATAATTTTGCAGTGAAACAGACTTTGAGTACATGCACAGTCCCCTGCCATTTGCACCACCAGCAGCCTTCAGAAGAGGTGGGTGAAGAACTGAATCTGGCAGCCGGAGGTTTTCACCTTTCTCTTCTCCCTGACTGACCTCAGCTCCTTCTTCCATGCACTCACTACCACAGAGGGTCTCCCCCAGATGCTCACCCCTCCCAATACCATTCTTTCATTTTCATTGGCTTTATCCTTCATCTAGTTCCTACTCTGGAAATATCCTTCAGTAAGCTGACTAAAACTACTGACCCTGTCATGCATCTTTTCCCTTCTCAAGTCATCTTCTAGGATCAATGAAAGAAATATTTTTTTTAAATCGTATCATTATTTTATGAATACCTTGAGCATTTCATAGCCTCAGCATTGAAGTTTTTAAAAGTGTCTGGTAACTCTCACACACAAATGTCCTCTAAACTACAGTTTTAACCAGAAGGATACCATGCAGAGGTGATAAATTCCATCACAGAAATAAAGATCAATCATGAGTCACTTGGAAAACTAAACTTCTACCAAACTCGTTATATTAATTATAAGAACTTATTAATTTTTTTACTATAGGAGTAAAACCTCTGACACAATGGTTAACTCAGAAAAAAAGAAAAAAGGCAAATAACAAAAAACCCCCAAGTCAACACAAAAGAACCCAAACTTTTCTAAATAATCTAACAAGACTATTATCCAGGGAAAAGGGAATGATAAGTTTAAGAATTCAACACTCAAATACAGAAAAATAATTATTTTAAATCAATCACAAACATTACACTTTTTGCAATATAGAACTGGTATGCTTACCTAGCATACGAATGTACAACGCAGTCTGATCAGAGCTGTCATAGGAAATTGCTCCACGTCTCTGCAAAAAACAAAACCAAAAAGGTGTTTTATTCAAGTTAGAACTAAACCATTTTTAAATTGAAATAAAAATAAAGTAGCAATTGCCCATTTCCAATTCAAATCTAAATTAATTTTGGAAGTTCGAACATGCACCTTTCAAATATATATACTGATTTTGTTTTAGCAGGGGACAAAGGATAAAAGCCAACCCGGAGGCAAACACAATCACCTATTTTCTCCTCTGTGTAGCAGGAACATCACTACACCAGGGACACACATTAGCCTGAAAATGTGCAAGTTCAAAAGATGGGAATCATGTTAGAAAACAAGACAGAAACCAGACAGATGTCAGCTATTGAAAAGAATTCTGAAAGAAAGAAAGAATTCTGAAAGAAAGAAAGAATTCTGAAAGAAAGAAAGAAAGAAAGAAAGAAAGAAAGAAAGAAAGAAAGAAAGAAAGAAAGAAAGAAATTACTTTGAAGGGGAAAAAGGCAAAAATTGCTCATATGCATCTACCTACAGAACCAACTGAATGCACACAAAGGAAGACCAGAGCTTAATAGCCTCTACCAGCATGATTTGTACAATTGAAGTGCTAAGACCCCAAATCCAGAAGTTACACTTAATTGTTTTAGTATTTTCCATGTTAAAACTAAAAAGAAAGCCTTACACTTGAAGTCACAGAAGATTTTCCAAAGGTAAGCTTAATATTTAATTACAGAAATGACCAAAGATCTAGCTCCAAATGGGGTCCAATTATCGTAGCTGTTATAAAGACTACAAGGAGGAACTCCCTGTACAGCACTTTTATGTTGTCTTAGCTTTGGTTCTGTGTTTCCTTGGAAGATCATAAACCATGCAAATAATCCTTCCCTCAAAATATGTTTGTACAGCGTTTCTCACAGCAATGTGCCTGTCCTGATGGGAAAGTCAGCAAGCAATGCAACTCATCAGACAGAAAATGATGCTGATTTCCCACTAACATTTTTAAATTTCTTCATATAATCTACCTTTGTATTTCAGCAAATATCAGCTGAATATATTTTCAGTAGCCTGGAACATTTCATATCACTGACTAGGCACAATCAGTGATGTCACTTAGTGCTAACTTGCAATTTTCACCTGTCTATCACAGATTTCTGGAAATACCCAGTAGAGTTCTGCATTCTAATACAGGAGAAAGCAAAACACACATGCAGCTAGAAGAACCATGCCCAACTGGAACATTAGTTTCTGAGAAGGAAAACAATATGTAAAAATTTACTGAAAAATAAAATCTTTTGGTATGTTGATTCCAAAATATTATTTGCTAGGTAAAGTAGAACATCCACGTAGGATATCAAACACAAAGCACATTTTTAAAAACATAAACCAGTTGCTCATACAAACAAGGGATTTTGTTCTGCAAGGACTCTGAAAGATCTCGTAGGAGTCTTTGAACAACCAAATCCTTTAAAAATTATGTTTCAGAGTTTTGTTTCCAAAGGAAAAAGAGACAATTTATTGTGTAAAACTTACTAATAATACTTCAAAAGTAGCAGGACAATTTCAGCTAATCTTGCTAAAAGGGTAGAGGTCCTACAGATAAAATAGATATTAGCAAGTTCCACCAAGGGACAGATATAGGGTTGGTGATGAGTGGTCAGACCACGTATCTTTAGACCAGGCAAATAAGTGAGGTACAGATAGGTAGGAGCACTATGGTGGGCAGTCAGAGAGAGAGGAGGGAGCTAATGGTATAGAGGTTTTTAGCAGCTTGTGATAGATAAATTAAATAATATTACACTCCTCCAGCCACAGATTGCTTTGTGTCAGTTTACACGCCAAAGAGGAAATAGACTGTGTACCCCAGGTTGAGGTATTATCACCTATTTTCCCACTTCAAGTAATACTGTCGTCGTATTTGTTGTACTATCTCCTACACTACTCTAGAAAAAGGCAAAAAAAAAAAAAAAGTAATTTAATCTACCCTGCCTGTGGTTCTTTTAAGATACCTTCCCCAGATTCCACTTTTTACATCCAGCAAACGGAAAGATCAGATACAGTGCATCAGCTTTTACTGAGATGTGAACTGTCATGTGCAGCAAATTTCTAAGGAGAAAAGCAAACGAGTCTTGAAGAGCTAAAGTTTCTGTAAAGCACCCAAGAGTTCAAACAATTTAATCACCAGGATTCTATCCTTGTTGACCACCAAAAATGCCTCCTCCCTCATTGCTAATCAAAGGCCCGCTCTCTTTAGCCTACACCAAGACATCAAGACTATACTCACACTAAAAATTTATCTTATCTTCCACAGTTGAGATGAGCGTAGCACACACTGTATGTGCCTACAGAAGCCCTGGCTATAAAAACTTCATGGACAGAGCTTGACTTCTGGCACTTCAAAATATCATGTTATTGTTAATACTGATAATATTTTTAACTCATTTAGCATAAAATTTTATTTCTAGATCTCTGCCATCTCTTTAGTCTACCTGAAGGTTTGTACCTGTTAATAACGACAAAGCAGATGGAACTCCTTGACTCTCTGTACAAACCTCAAACAAAAAAGCATCATTCCAACAGAAAGAATTACTAGTGCTCAAACTGAAGACAATTCTCATGTGTTTAGGCAGGTTATGCTTTCAAGCACAAGAATGACCTTGGGGTCCAGTAGGAATGTATGCTGGACTCCAAGTGATTCAACAAATACCTCAAATGATTAGGTGAGGTTCTTAACCACTCCATTCCTTTCCAAACATGAGCACGGTGATCTGAACCGGGTGGGCTGCTCTGCTTCAGCAGTGAAGAGAGATGTCAGAAAGATAACTGGGAAGCGGAAGGATTGTTTACACTGGACTTCCACTTTGAACACCTGACCTTAAATTTCAAATTAGAATGTAATTTATTCTTCCAAAGGGTAATACAGTAAGAAAAGCTTTCATTTCTCCTCTCTTTTTTAACATCTTTATGGAAAGTGAATGGAAGAAGTTCAAAACTAAAGTCAAAGATCCATTAATCCTTTAAGAACAACAATGATACAAGGACTCCACCAAAATAGGCAAAGGAAGTATCTACCAGAAGACAGATTTAAGTCAAATATTTGAAAATCTTTTCACAAGATCATAGGAAGTTATTAAAGGTCATGCAACGGGAATGAGATGTCAAAATAGCACATAGATATATCTTCAAAGGGAAACCACTTCAGTGATGCTAGGGAGTACAGCATACCCATGTGACACTTGGAAACAGAGCACCTGCTGCTGTTTGTGCCAAACAAAAATGTTTCCATTGATCTATCAGTTCTATCACTAGGGCTTCCCAATCCAGTTCAGAGCAGCGCACCAGCATTACAGTTGGGCACTTCATTCCGGCACACGCCAGCTAGCCAGCTTTCAGAAACTGATGGAGCTGTCAGCCTTCAAAATTCAGTATCTCCCATCAGAATGAACTACCTATGCTTTTGGATGGAGTGCCCAACCCTCATTTCACAACTCAGTTGTTTATTCAGAAACTGGGAAAGAAGAGCCAGAGGACAGCAACACAGACAGTCAGGTATTTTTACCTACTTGGTTTTTCTGCCCAAGTTATTTGCCCAACAATCTCAGGATTGTTTTCAGAAAGAGAAACTGAGAACAAGTTTGGAGAAGTTGTTATATCATGCCAACCCTAATTCGCTGATTATGCTGCCTCAAATATACACACTTGGAAACAATTTAAGATTCTAAGAGAGTTTATCAACTAGAAGTTCCAAGAATGACAAACTAGTCAGAGTGGATTTCTCCAACTCTTACTGTATTTCAAAAGCGAGACTGTAATTTATCATAATTCTAAGAACAATTTCAGTAATTGGAAGTTCCACATCAACAGAAGATCCACAGTTTTCCACAAGATACCACCAAGATTTTGCTTACTAAAGACCTGGAAAATGTTCTTTTAAAGCACTTAAGTAACTGTTGTTGAACTTGGATAAGCCACTGCAAAACAGACCTACTACTTTTTTCTAAGTATTTCATTGGAGTTCAAAGCAGTATTTTGAAAGTTTATCAAACCAGTAGAAAGAAAATGTATTTAATTTCAGGAAGGCAATATTAATCAGCAGTAAAACATACACACTCCTTTCAAGTATCTGAATGTGACAATTTTACTACCTTCTTCCATATAAAGCTATTTCATATGATCATCTCCCAAGATGGATGGAAATCATTTACAAACTTCGCTATTGGCTGAGTGACAGTTATCAGCATTATTTATAACTACACCTAACAAGGTTTTTTCTCTCACACACCCTAGGTGTGTATCACATGGCATCCTAAGATTTACCCAAAGTTTTATCAAAAGAACATCTTCAAGATTTAACAAAAATATGCCAAAAAAAGAAGCTTGAAAACGTTCAGAAAAGAAAGCATAGTCAAAAAAGCATAAGTGACTGACTTAAGTGAGGACACAAACACACAGGGGAATTACCTTTAGAAACTAAATTAGAATGGCAGAAGGACTCAAAACCAGCAGCAGAAAAGGATAATTGGATGAACAATAGGGAAAAAAAATAATTATTAAAAGAAACAACCATTAGTATATTTAAAAACACAGCCATAAATAGCAGAGGTTTTTATGCTTACCTATATTATGTCAGCTACCTGCAATTCCTGTTTTTCCCACCTTAACAGAATCTTTGACCAAACTGAATTACAGATCTGCTTTTTATGTCAAGTTTCAGAAAACAGCAATTCAACAGTACACCAGTAAAATGCAGAAGGCGTACAAGGTAGCCTTTGGTACAAGAATCTGCCTTCGGTCACAAATGAACATCCATTAGGGTAACCTGGTCTTTTTCTTTATGTGACAAAAGTTATTACAAGTGTTAGCGACTAAGCTTGATTGTTTTTACTTTTAGTAAATTTAGAACTGTATTATTGGCAATAACTGAAGAGTATGGGCACAGGTACCTGGCAAAGCTTGTTTTCACAACAAATTCAAACTCATGTTTGTTCAGATTTGCTTGTTACTTGTACAAAAATATTTAAATTGTGTATTAATTTTTTTTTTTAAATCTATCTATATATAAATGCATGAACTTTGATATGTTTTCAGTTTCTCTCATTCTCTCCAATGATTCTGGCCCTTCTTCACAATCCGAAACTTAAATTTATTCCCTCTTTTGGAATTAATTCCAGGCTAAGCAACAAGCTATGCTCAGAAGAGCCTGGTCTCATCTCCAGGCACCAATCCCACCTACATTTACTACCACAATATACATTATGGGGAAGCTCCTTTAGAAGGAGAGAGTAGGAACTCCTGATTTTGTCTAACATCAGCACACATTTTTCCAAGCACAAGCATCTCAATGCTCTAGTGGAAAGGCTACAAAGCAAGCAAAGTAGCCGGTATTTCACCTCAGCAAACAAAACTGGTATTTCCACTCCTATAACTCTGAAATCAACAATACAAAAAGGATATCCTGCTCAGGAAGCAAAACACACTAATTTGTATTATTCTCACTATGTTTAAAATTGTTTTTCCTTATTTTCACAAAGCTTTTAAAACACTATAAAATTGAAGATCTGTTAGTAAATAAAGGAGGCAAGCAAATCCCTGCCATTCAGAAGCCATTTCAGATCCCTTTTCCCCATCTCCTAACTGGCACTGCTACAAACACACTCTTCCCACTTCAAGGCAGGCAGAAGTCAAAAGGTACAAAATCATGTATGAACACTTAAGAAACACAATCCAAAATAACGAATGAAGTGTTTCCAAAACAGATTAGATTTAAAAAAGAAAAATAAATACTCGTGAGGTTCTTAATGACTTGTTTTCTCTCGGGCTACTTATAAACCCAGTTAGTCAAAACAGACAATAAAATGGCCTACCTTAGAAGTAATCCATTTGATAAGGATCAGAGCTAAACACCAGATCAATGCAATTCCCATTGGATCACCCCAAAAACCCGAAGCATAATCTCCTCCCTAATCCCTGTCAGTGCTGAAAGCTGGGTGAGGGTTTGAGTACCTGAGAAGCAGCACACAGGGGGAAGGCAGGCAGGGGGAAGGCAGGCAGGCAGGC